AGTCCATAATAAGTATGGATTGTCTAAGATTGTAATCAATTTCCAAGAGCCCTTTAAAATGTTGATACCCATAATTTTGATATACAAATTTTGGTGTTACAATAATTGTTTTTTAAAGTTTTTTTTTACCTGTTGCAACTGTGAATGAAGAAAACTTTGTTTTGATATGTTGACTAGATTGCATAAAAGAAGGCTACATAATTAATAGATGGACCTGACAGTCAAATTAGATTCCCTTGATCCCTTGAGCTTATAACAGGTGATGAACTACTACATTTCCTACTCCATGGAGGGATGAAATCATCATTTCCCAGCAATTATGCAAGAGATTATTAGTGTTATTCACTGTTTAAGTAGAAATTTTTATTAGAACTTTTCAATGTCTGTCCATCTCTTTGTGGTAGAAAAGAAAATCCACTATTTCTCAAAAATTTTGTCACGATCATAGGTTTATCATGACAAAATGATTTTGTTACCCTTTTGTAATGCATGGTTGATACAAAAACAATTCAAAGAGTTTGATTACATTGTGAAAAAGAAGTGAGCGGTAAAAGTTTCCTTACAATAATTCCATTTTGCTTTTCATGGTATTGTTCTTAAGTGATCAGATGTTAGTTTGCAATCCTGTTTTCATAAGTTCTTAAATGAAAATGATAATGATATGGAAAAGGAAAAGGAAAAGGTAAAGTTATTCTTAAGTTCTTAAATGAATGATCTCAAATCATTTGGGCTATCAGATCTTTGTTTTTCATTTTTTTTGTACTTCGATTATTTAGCCAATTAGTTATGTTTTTAAATTTATGTTTCTATATTAAATAATGATGTGAGATATTTGGGTGGATTTATTGTATTAGTTTCCTCTAATTAATGAGCAAGAAATCATATATGATGCCAACTGAAGTAGCCATCTGGTAACAAAGAACATACCTTTTAGATATCAAACATTCTGAAAATGTTTAAGAATGTGATACAACTTGTTTAACAATGTGTAGACACATTTTTCAAAGATAAAGGACCAAGATACTATAGTGATCTAAAGTTGCACTTTTGAACACTCTACAATTGTCACTTGATCATGTATTATGATTTATGAGAATGGTTTTTTAACTTAAAATCGAATGATGACTTGTTAGAAATGGAGTATAGAAAAAGCTTGGAAATTCTGAGAATTGTGGCTTTCACTTTCAGATTAAAGTATTTGGGTGGTACTCCCAATCTTTAATCGGATAAGACTCAAAATTGAGAGAAAAACAGAAGAGAGAATGTTTTGATGTTATGAAGAAGAAGTGTACCAACCACAGATTCGGATATGATCATATAACATAAAAAACTTCTTGTCTTAAAACTGCCACATGACAGTTTTATGTCCTAAAACTGTCCACAAACGATCATAAACAACCTTAAATCCGGGTCTAGAATATGGATTACAAAACTGGGTACATTTATCAAAATCCAGATTTCTGATGCAATTTTAATATAGCTAGGGGCTCTGCCCCTTGGACCCCGCCAGGGGCTGCTGCCCCATGGACCCCGCTCCCAGGGGCGCTGCCCCTGGACCACCGTCGGTTTAGGGTTTTCGCCCCTAAAAAACAGTATACTTTCAGCAAAGACAAAATTAAACATATGTGCACTCCACACCATACCGATTTGTTCAATAACTTTCAAAGTGACATTGATCAACAAATTAACCCCATTACACTTAAATAACATTAGTGATATAAAATCACCAACATGACTCTTCAAGTGGGTCGGGAACAGAAGTCGAACAAAGAATAATTTAACATGTTGATTATTAGACTGAGGGAAAATGTCACTGTAGCCCCCACAAACTTTCACATTTTGGTTTAAAAGGTCCCTATTGTTATTTTTTTGGCTTTATAAGGGCATGAATTCTCTTTTTACCGGCTTTTAAGACCATTTTCTAGAAAGTGAAGGGGTCATCCGATCGCCCCTTTCACAGCCAGCCAGTTATCTTGTACACATCATTAAAAAAAAAAGCCAACTCATTTGCCAGATCAGATGCCACCTAATGTATACGAACAGGAGAGCACGAAATTGAGGGAGAACAACCATGTGGAATCCATCGCCGTTTTCATCACTTCCCATCAAAATAACATTCATCATTTATTTCTTTCTTTCTCTTTGCTTCTTCTTCGTCTTACTCTCCCCCAACCCCCAACCCCAGTTATCATTCCATCTCAATTCCGAAAGTCAACTCCAAGAAACAATAACCATTGTCACCGCTGGAGACATACTCACACTCTTTGGCACACCTCAACATGCTGCATCCGTCGACCCCCTATTGAGAATCTGAGATAAGTCAAGTATCCAACAACGAACGTATTCGTCCAAATCGATTAAACACAACGCCAATTCCGAGCCGAACGTTCGCAGGTAGCATAATTTTGACTTTCCCATTGACCCGTAAGAACATCTGTTCAATTTCCAATGGCGGATGAAAGCTGCGCTTCTGATATCTGTACTTCAAATCCGATTACACCGTTCACAGATCAATAATTCCAATTTTGACCTTTTTAGTTTGACTCACAAGAACACCCTTACAAACGCGATTTTATCCCATTGAGTTCCTGTCATGATTTCATTCGCTCGTATGACACAACTTGTGAGTTAGATTAACCATTCGGAACCCAACACATCATAAACACCAAATCCCACTTCTTCAAATCGATTTTAAGATCAAACAACTCATCAGTCGAGTTCATTACCACTATTATCTGTATTTTCATAACTTTAAAACATCGAATCTTCATATCATCATTAATTTCATCGAATGACATATACAAGAAACTAAACTGATGTTGAAACGAAAATGAGTAGATAGACTTTTTTTAAACAAAGAATCAATTGATAAAATCAAAATTGATGTCGATAATGCCATTACTCACAAAGATCGATTCCAGAACAAATGAGCAAAAGATTTAATAATCATGGATAAGAATCGTCAATTGTTGTTCGTTGGCTCCAGCTTCTGCCCCTGGCCCTGGATGCCCTTTCCACCATTTCGATAGCGAGAGCCAGGTCAAGGACTTCATCCATACGCTTCTGCATCATCAAAAATCCCTAATTCGGTTTCATGTTAAGATACAATGAGATGGCTAACAACCTGACATTTTGGTGAATCTCACAAATTTGGCAACGAAAATGGGTGATGAATTGGGTGACCACTATACCCTTAGGGCCCAAACAAGGCAACTCGTTAGTGAGTTGTTGATGTGTCATCTGAGTTTGGTGAGTTGACTCTGTAACTGAGTTAGGTGATGACTAGGCAAAGAAACCGGTTAAATTGGGGCAAAATCTCTAATTAGCCGGTAAAAAGAGAATCCATGCCCTTATAAAGCCAAAAAATAACAATAGGGACCTTTTAAACCAAAATGTGAAAGTTCGTGGGGCTACAATGACATTTTCCCTTAGACTAATGCTCAAACAATGAAATATCAATATCCAATTACAAAGTAAATTTATATTACTAGCAAATTTATGTGTATAGTAATAAGATATAAGAAAAATATAAATCGTAATGTATTTTCAATTATTTGTTTATTATAACATTGAATTCTCAATTCTTCTTATTTAAACAATATAAAAACTAACGAATCCAACTTTTTAGATTTCAAAACATGAAACCTCAGTAACCTTCCTCATGTCTTTGAGTTTGATTTTGTTTTTTTAATTGGATGTACTTTCATGATTTGTTTCTTTTAATATAAATTTGTGTGTGTGAACTAAGGTGTTTTATAATTTGTTGTTTAGCTATTTGATGACGTTTGATTGATATTTATTATGGTTTAAAACATCTTTAATCTTATTAAGTAATAACATTTTAAAAATATTTTACTCGTGGTTCCACGGGTTGTAACCTACTATGTGTGTGTGCGTGTGTGTGCGTGTATATATATATATATATATATATATATATATATATATATATATATATATATATATATATATATATATATATATATATATATATATGGATGTTGCGGTAGTATTTTTACATTTTATAACTAGTTTACAACTCGTGGTAACCACGGTTATAAAATTAATTAAACTTTTATAATAAAAACTCAAAATTATTAATCAATTATTTTAAATAAATTACTAACTAAGAGATATTTTTATTAGTTATGTGAAATTATAATCGTTGCTTCAAATAAATATATAAAATTAATTTTCAATATATATATTAGATATTTTTTATTGTGAACTAATGAAAACAATAATATAAACTCTAAAATTTAAAATAGAGAAATCAATACATTGACAAATAGCCTCACATTAACGAGGAGATCTAATAAATTTAAAATAGAAAACTAATAGATTGACAAGTAGTAATACATTAATTAAAAGGTCTAATATAATGATACATGGTAAATGGGTTACTCTTTTATTAATATAGAAATGATAAATGTTATCCGAAATCATTGGTAGAATATAACCGATAAGATAGTAGTTTGGTGTTTCCCACGGACTGTACCAATCTAGCTGTTAATAAATAAAATTGATTATTAGTTATTAAATTCCAGTTTTCTATTAAAATCCCAATTTTCTATTAAAATTCCAATTAGTGTTTGTTGACTTCCAAAAAAAACAATTTAAATAATTGTTTTTTTGTGAAAATTTTATATAGTATACTTTATTTTTGAGAGAGTAATAAAATTATTCACAACGGAGAATTATAAAATATTGGAAAAACACTGTTATTTTTATTAAACAGTGTTGCAATTCTTATAATATATAAGTATTAAGTATGTGGTCTTTTAAATCGTTATAATATATATTAAGTATGTGGTCTTTTAAATCGTTATAATATATATTAAGTATGTGGTCTTTTAAATCGTTGTCACATTAAGAAACTTATAATAAGATATAAGTCATACCATGTCAAGGAACAACAATTTTATGCATCAAATCCAGCATTTCATTTCAATTCTTCACAAGAAAAACAATAATCATGACGAATATGGTGACCAACACATGTTTTACAACTTTTCGCAATTGGTAGGTTTAAACGATACCTTTCTGTTATCTAAATCAAAACCTACCATAAAATTCATCTGTGCCAAGTTCCCAAAAACAGGAAGATCGGTAGTCGACCCCATGGCTAAGCAAATAATATGTTTACTAACCGTAACAAATATGTTGTCTCTTGTCAACTCGACATCTGCTCCATCAAAATGCATTATTACTTTAGGTACGTCTATAACTTTTGTAGCACGATAACACAGATTGAGTTGCTTTTGTGGATCTTTCATCGTTCTCAAATTAAGAGAATCTTTGATAGCCATTTCAACGTTCTTGTAGAGTCTATGTGGTAACATTGTTAACGTTGTCCCTGAATCCACGATCATATTTCCTTTTGGCACCGGTTTTGAGAAGTTCAAGCCATCGTGTATATTCATTCGCCTATTGCCGACACTAACCGCTTCCAACGTTACGTAATAAAATGTTTTTGGAGATTTTGGGACAAGTGGGGTCGAAACAATATTTGGACCAAAGTCAATGTCACCAAAGGTCATTTTACTAGACTTGTTCAATAAATCATCGTTCAAAGGGTATGGAATAAGACAATATGAAAACCTACCCGGCACAAAAGAACGTATTTGTGTCACTAGAGACACGTCTCCTCCACCAAGACCGATTACCCCACCCCATGTTGATCGGAAAATACCACCGTTGCTAAATCCACAACCAAAAACAATATTTAGGAGGAACCGGTCACCTAATCCTAGGGTTTCTGTGGAGACACTACCGTTGCTAAAAGATCCATCAGCATAACTCTCAAAAAACTCACAAGTTTTGGTTGTAGAGCAAGATATATCGACAGTATCTATACCCTTACATATTGTTGAGTCACAATCTAAGGGTTTATAAGTAGAAGATTTTTTTGGGTCAAAAAGAGTACCCTTGTGTTTATAACATTTGATGCAAGGCTTGCACTGTATCCATGACAAATCGCTACCAGTATCAGCGATGGCCATGACTTTATGTGATGGATTTCCAAACGAAATGTTCACAAGAAATTCACCATGATCGGGGATTATTTGGGTTTGGTATGTCGTTGCATTTTCTTTGTAACGTTTTGCATTGATGAAAGAGCGTTGCAAAGCATGAGCAAGGCGTTGCGAAAAGGTCATGGAACCATCGTAAAAAGGGGATTTGATGGAATCACGATGGATGAGATCAATGCTAAATGTACCACCGGATTCCACTCCGGTGGCTGTTGCCGGAGAACTAATATATAGAATGGCTAGTGTTGTTGCAAGTACAAGTGAGGGAAATGCCATGACTTTTTGAGTGAAAAGTTTGTGTCTAACTTGGAGGATTGCAAGAAATTTATATTGAAAAAGTTTTGACATTTAATTAATGGTATGCTTTGACTCATTGTATACAAAAGCTACATAAGGTAATGCCTATTTTTTGAAAGTTAAGTTGATAAAAGTCAAATAAACTTAATTATTATATATTTTTATAATTGGAATATCATTTATTTTGTAACCGATAAAACAAGTGGTATTAATGATTTATGTCTATGGTTATGGTGTGTTCGTCTTTAAGAGTATCAATATCATATAATTATAATAAAGACAAACATATTAAGTCATTTAATTTTTCACTAAAAATTGGAATTGTATAAAAATGAAGTTGATACGTTATATGTATATACCAAGTGCTATACACAATAACTTTTAGAAAATTATATAATTATACTCTTTAAAACATAAATTGTTGTGTTTCGCAAAAATTTATTATGTATAAATCACTTAATAAAAAAATAAAATAATATGACATAATTCTAGTAAACGTATATGTAAAACAAACTTGTTGACAAGCATTTGCATTAATTATGTGTAATTAAGGCCTTAAATCAAATGTCTTATGAGTTTTGAGTAATATAGAATACTAATTTTATTTGTATTATGTGTTATTGAGTTTTCACTAATTATCATTTTCAAAATACATTATATCATTAATGGTTTTAGAAAAGTAAACTGTGGATTACATAATTCACGTAAATAAGTTTTGTCTACTTTCCGTGGAGCTCCTTGCTAGTCGGGATATCTTTGTTTTTCCTTTTTGTCGGTTCCAAAAAACTTAAATAAGTTTTGTATATAAATATGATATTTGAACTCAATATATGACAATTACTAAAAAAGTTTACAAAACGGACACACGTTAACAAAACAATTTTAGAAAAAAAAAAATACAAGAAACTATATCGTTATAAAAAGAATATTTAAATATCTTTTTATGTTTTATTAATCTTTCTATTTATATAAAATAATATCATATGTGATCTATTTATTTTTCTCTCTTAATCACCCTTATTGATTTTTGACATTTACATTTATTTAACAAGTAAAAATAAAAGACATGCGAATATTTTATTTCTATATCAACAAACTTACTGTGTTAATAAAGATATATATTCTTCCTTTTTCCTTGTCGGCAAAATCTCCTTGTCCATGAGTTTATTAGTTTCGTATTTTATCTAGATTCTAGATTTAGATTCCTAGTTTATCTTATATCTTTTACTACTTTCCTATTTATTTAAATTTAGATTCCTAGTTTATCTTTATATTTTGTTTCCTTTTGTTAGTTTTTTCATTCACTATTTTAAGCATTGAGATGAATGGAATTATTAAGTGTTTCCATTAAGGTATCAGAGCAGGTCTTATATATCCATCTTTTAAGACACATCCGACGACTTCATTATAAACGAAGGGTGTCCAACAAAAACGCTTAACACCTACTCTCCATATCACATTCATGCCGCTGTCCGACAACTCGAGATAAATGCAAATGAATGATGTTCTTACAGACAACAACTACAACGACCGGTCACAAGAGATGTTAAATTTCTTGTTTTCCAAAAATAAAGTCAGCTTCATCAATTGGACAATCCAAAAGTGATAGATTATGTGGAAACCTCATTAATTAGGGTTGCATGTATAGATATCAATATGTAATGTAAATATATTATATAAGAGCCCCTATACAATATACAAATGAATAATAGAGAACTATTAATTAACACCCGCCTATAATTGGAACAGGATGATCTCAAATGCTCAAACTATTTCTAAAATCCAAAAATAACTGAGTAGGTAGGCCCTTTATAGAAATTTATGTATATTGATAAGTTGAAAGAACATGTAAAACACACACATGACTAATCGACACATGCTCCCTAACAAAATTTAAATCTATTTCCACATGTTTAGGTTTTTGGTGAAGTAATCGGTTGGAAGCTAAATACATGACACTAAAATTGTCGCAAAAGACAACAGTGACACGCAAGAGAGGGAAATAAAGCTCGAGAAGGAGATTTCTAAGCCATGCAGTTTCTACAACGACATTAGCTACATCTCGGTACTCAGCTTCAGCAGCAAGACATGATATGTTGTCATTTAGAGGACCAGGAGATGAGATTATTACCTAGATAAACACATAACCTATAAGTGAGCAATGGGTAGTAGGACAACCGACCCAATTAGCATCAAAATATGAAACCAGGCGATCAATAGTTGAACAATGGATGTGAAGACGATGAACTAAGGTACCCTTGAAATACCTTAATATACGCTTGAAATCCTGAAAATACAGGACACCCAGATCATTCATGAAGAGACAGATCTGATGTACAACATAAGCAATATCTGGACGGGTAATGGTAAAATATTGTAAGGCACCTACAAGACTACGATACAAGGTATGGTCTAAAACAGACTCACCGTTGGTGGAGAGTTTAGATTTGATGTCAGCTGGTGTGGTGTGCTACAGGGATTACACATGACCATGTCAGCATGTGTAGGAATCTCTTGAGTGAATGCAGTTGTAAAAGAAAGAGGGTAGAAGCACTCCGAGTAGCAACAATACCAAGGAAAAAGGAGAGACATCCAAGGTGAGTCATAGGAAACTCCGAGGATAGTAGCTTGATGACCTTGGATACCAGAGCTGGAGAAGAGGCGGTAAGAATAATATCATCTACATAAAGTAAAAAATAGATGACGTCCTTTCCACGATGGAAGGTGAATAGTGCTTTGTCAGATTTGTTGCTACAAGACCTAAGGGAGGAGAAAAAAAATGGTAAAATGTAGGTACCAGGTACGAGGAGCCTGTTTGAGTCCATAAAGAGCTTTGTGAAGACGAAAAACATGATCAGGGGAACTGGGTGCTGACATTACTAGGAGCTTAACACATATAGAAAGTTTCAACAAGATCACCATAAAGAAAAGTGTTTTTTACATCAAGTAGGTGGATTGGCTAGTCTCTAGAGACGAAGATGCTTAGAACAATACAAATGATGTCTAGTTTGATGGCAAGACTAAATGTGTCACCAAAATCAAGACTAGGTTGTTGAGAGAAACCTTAAGCAACAAGATGACCTTTGTATCGCTCTAAGCAACCATTGTTGTAACGCTTGTGACAAACCAATGAAATCCCACAACATTAGCATGTATGTGTTTTGAGGACGAGATCCGATGTATGGTTAGTGTAAAGGGAAGAAATTTTAGAATCCATAGTTACACTCCAGTGAGGATCACACATAGCTTGAGTAGTGGAGCGAGGAATAAAAGAAACATCAGAAGAGATAGAGTGATTAAATATTTGCTAAGGTTTTATGCTACTAGCTCGTGATCTTGTAACAATCGGATGTGCGGAGAGGGGAGGGGACGGAGAAGGATATGAGTTTGAAGAACTCAACAAAGAGGATTCACTACTTGACTCAGGGTTAGAAGAGTTGTGAAACACTGTTGTAAAAACTGGAGTAAGAGAGGTAGTCGTAAGAGATGAAAATGAAGATGGTAAAGGAGAAGGGTCATCTTTTGAAATGAAATAGTGATAGTCATTTGGTAAGGGAGACATGAAATTCAAGAAATGGAAAATGGTTTCGTCAAAGGTAACCTGATGCAAGAAAATCACTTTTTTAGTGATCAAGTAAATACATGCTCACGAGAAAGGTAAAAACATTCTCACGAGAAAGGTGTAAGTTTGTAAGGGGTGGTTGAGGAGAGATTCAAGTAGCAAAGACATCCAAAAACCGAAAGGTGAATGTAAGAGGGAGAGAAAGCAAAAAGGATTTCAAATGTGTTTTTAAGATGCATAGCAGTCATAGGAAGAAGATTAAATATGTGAGTAGCAGAAAGAAGAACCTAACCCAAAAATGAGGAGGATGAGAGGCTTGGATGATAAATGTGTGCATGATGTTGTTAATGGTTCAGATAGAGCAATAAGCTTTACCGTTTTGCTGGGAGGTATAAGGACATGACAAACAAATTTTAATTACATGCTCATTAAAAAAATTACAAGAATGGTTTGTTGTTGAATTCTCGACCATTATATCATTAAAATAATTGAATATCAGTTTTAAATTGATTTACCACATAAGCACAAAAAGATTTAAGAGTAGAAAACACATCAGATTTGGAACGTAAGGGAAAATCCATAAAAAAAAAATAATAAGAAAAACATCCAAGAAAAATAATGTAGTATATAAAACCACTAAGACTTGGAATAGGAGAGGTCTATAAATTAGAATTAAATAATTTAAACACGCAACTAGTTTTGGTTTGAGATAAAGAAAACATTAAATGATAGTTTACTCCTAGCTGACAAGCATGGCACAAAGATGTGCTTTAATAGGAAAAGAAATAAAACTACATGACTTAAGAAACTAAAAAATAGTGGTGCTCGGGTGACCAAGTGTTCTATACCTTGTTTTTTTTTGACAAATAGAAACAAGATAAAAGAATGAGACGTATTGGGAAGTAGATGGAAGGACATGATAAAGTTCAAAGTGGTTGTTATCACATCGTTGAAGTGGATTACCACTGCTAAGATCATTCATAGCGAAACCAAAGGATCAAACTCAACATAAATATAATTGTTAGTTGTAAATCTACAACAGAAATAATATTCTTCACCATTTTATCAAAAATAAGAATATCCTTGAGAAAGAAGCAATTATTAGAAAAAAGGGAAAAAATGACTTATAGAATTAACTGGAACTACAAAACCGTTACTAACCTTAATAAATTTAAAGTTACATGGAGTTAGAGAGTGTATTGTACCTTGATTGAAGGACATGTGAGAGCTTTCTCCCAAATCTATGTGGTAGTTGTCACGAGGTGGTTAGATAGACATTGCTTAGAAGAACAAAGAAAGATCTATGAAATATTGGAGAAAAGCTTGAACACCAAAGGCATGAGAAGGAGGTTGTTGTGGTGGAGTTGCAGAGCTGCAAACTTGCTGATGCAAAGTAAAAAAAAAAAAAAAAAAAAAA